TCTTCGATACTTGTTAAACAGGATATTATCCATAGTCCTGTAACACTCTCAAGTAATCTCCAAGCCGTTGCAGTGAGACTTACTCTTCATGTTACCTTTACACTATGCTCTCTGTATATTCCCCCTTCTTCAACACTCCAGCAGTCTGATCTTCAAGCTCTCTATGACCAACTTCCTAAACCTTGTATTATAATGGGTGATCTCAATGGCCATAACCCGATCTGGGGTGGTACAAACACTAACCCAAAAGGTAAAGTACTGGAAGATTTTATATCCCATAATGATTTGTGTATATACAATGACGATTCAAGCACTTACCTACATCCTGCAACCGGCACTTACTCTTCTCTAGATTTGTCCCTTGCAGACTCTAACCTCCTCAATGAATTTGATTGGTCAGTCCACAATGACCTCTGTGGAAGTGACCACTTTCCAACTATCCTATCAGCAATTTATCCATCTGATTCTACATCTTATACAAGATGGCAATTTTCCAAGGCAGACTGGTCCTTATTTCAAACGTTATGCACATCTAAACTAAGACCCGAATATTTCAGTGATTTAACTGATCCTATTGAGGTTTATTCTGACGTTTTAAATGAAATAGCTGATGAATGTATACCAAAGTCCTCTACAACCCCACATGTACGGAAACCATGGTTTAATACAGATTGTAGGCAAGCCAGAAAAGCGAGGAAAAAGGCAGAGAACTATTTCCGCCATCACCCAACTGTCCATAACTTAAATAAATTTAAAATATTTCAATGCGAAGGCACGTCGTACCTTCAAACAAAACAAACGACAATCTTGGAGGAACTATGTCTCCAAAATTAATTCACGTACGCCAATGTCCAGAGTATGGAACATGGTTCAAAGAATTAAAGGCAAAGGTTCAAAGTCTGCTGTTCATCATCTTAAAGATGGTGACAATTTAATTACTGACAAATCTAAAATTGCAGATAAAATTGGAGAAACTCTTGCCAAAAATTCATCATCGGCAATTATGTCCCTGAGTTTCAGAGATATCAGAAACAACAGGAAAAAAACAACTTAATTTCGACTCAAATAACGGTGAAGATTATAATGAAGTGTTTTCATTACATGAGCTACATACTGCTCTTTGAGCAAGCTCATGACACTGCAGCGGGTGATGATAATATACATTACCAGCTATTGAAACACTTACCGGAACCATGTCTGATGACACTTTTAGATATATTTGACAAAATATGGACGTCTGGGGAATTTCCTCCTTCATGGCGTAATGCCATTGTAGTCCCAATACCAAAACCTGGCAGGATCATACAGATCCGTCTAATTACAGACCGATCTCACTAACTAGCTGTGTTTGTAAAACCATGGAACGTATGGTGAATAATAGATTAACTTGGTATCTTGAAACCAATAACCTTATAACCAATATTCAATGTGGTTTCAGGAAAATCGTAGTACCATTGATCATTTGGTACGCTTGGAATCCTTTGTTAAGAATGCTATAGTAAGTAAACAACATGCTGTATCAATTTTCTTTGATCTTGAGAAAGCTTATGATACGACCTGGAAGCATGGCATTTTGAAGGATTTACATGATTTTGGTTTGAGAGGCCGTTTGCCTCTTTTTATATCACGGTTTTGAAAGACAGACAATTTCAAGTCCGAGTGGGTTCAACCCTGTCTGATCATTACAATCAGGATCAGGGTGTCCCTCAAGGCAGTATTTTGTCTGTCACTTTATTTAGTATCAAGATTAACAGTTTATCCAAGGTTTTAAACGATTCCATTGATGGATCACTTTTGTGGATGATTTTAACATTTCTTGTCGTGGTAAAAATATGCATACCATTGAACGGCAATTGCAGTTGTGTTTAAATAAAATAAATAAATGGTGTCTTGAAAACGGTTTTAAATTTTCCAAATCCAAAACTAATTGTCTACACTTTTGTAGGAAATATAAGCCGCATAAAGATCCTGAACTATCTTTAAATGGCACTCCCATCAAAGTTGTTAAGGAGGCCAAATTCTTGGGTCTACTTTTCGACTCCCATTTAACTTTTTTGCCACATATTAAATCACTTAAAGCCAAATGCCTGAAGGCACTCGATTTGTTAAAAGTTGTTTCCAACTCAAAGTGGGGAAGGGATCAAGCTACCCTCCTCCACCTGTATCGATCACTGGTCCGCTCGAAACTTGATTATGGCTCCATCGTATATGGTGGAGCCTGCAAAAGCAACCTAAAACTACTTGATTCTGTCCACCACCAAGGCCTAAGACTTTGTCTTGGGTCCTTTAGAACCTCTCCCATTGATAGTCTCTATGTTGAAGCAGATGAGCCTTCTCTTACACAACGTCGGATAAAATTATCTTTACAATACATTACTAAACTATATTCTAGCAAATCTAACCCTGCATTTAACTGTGTTTTCAATCCCCCTATGAGGATTTATATAACAAAAAACTTCTCTTGTTCCGCCTCTTGGGCACAGAATTAAGCCCTTCATATCTGCTGCCGGCATTGAGCTGGAAAATATAGCTCCTTCCCCGTCTTTCTTCTCCTCCTTGGCAACTGGTGAGGCCTGAAGTTGACCTAACTCTGACAAAGTTTAAGAAATCTGAAACTAATGAATTACAGTATAAACAAGAATATAATCAGCTAAAAACTAAATATAATACATACAAATCTTTATTTACAGATGGGTCCAAGGACGGTGGCGCGGTTGCATGTGCCACTGTCATTGATCCAGAACAATATCTTCTCGATTACCAAATAACAGCTCTATTTTCACAGCAGAAGCAAACGCCATCTTAAAAGCTCTTAAATATATTAATGAACACCGTAAATATGAGCAATACATCATCTTTTCCGATTCTCTTCTTGTCTTCAGGCGATTAAAAATCTTTCTTGTAAACATCCACTTTTATTAGAAATTATTGAATTGTATAATGAACTGGCTACTGGCCAATGCGACATCGTCTTTGTTGGTTACCCAGCCACGTTGGCATCTCTGGGAATACAATCGCTGATCTTGCTGCTAAGGTAGCACTCAACAAATCTGTGACACCACTTCTGATCCCATACTCTGATTACAAAGCTGCTATAAGATCTTATATCCGTGATCTGATGCAAAAGAAGTGGGACACCCAAGTAGGTATCAATAAATTACATGAAATAAAACCTTATATCGGTTACACTTACTTGGGTTGTCAGTCCAGATTTGAAGAGGTCATCATATGACGATGTCGCATTGGCCATACAAGGTACACTCACAAGTATTTGTTAAATGGTGAAGATCCTCCGTTTTGTATCCCTTTGTGATGAGAGTCACAGTCAAGCATCTCCTGCTTGACTGTGTTGAATTCTCCATCATAAGGGATAAATATTTCAATGTTAAAACTGTTAAGGATCTTTTTAATTCTGTTCATCTTCATTTAATTCTTGGTTTTTTAAAAGAAATTGATTTCATTAATGAATTTTGATTAATATGTTCTGCATATAGCTGTGTTTTAATGATTGGTAGTTTGATTAGTAACTTAGATTGTTAGTGGCTGTACTCTCAAGGGGGGTTGAAGTATCGTAAAAATATTGTCCCCCTGAGAGGGTACGTAAGTCCCAAAACTTTCAAAGTTAACTTTTTGCTTACCCGATTTTTAATCGTAGTATATTTGTTCCTTTAAATTTTGGCTAAACTTGTCCTACAATCGCCAGCTGCTGAGGGGATGGTGTAAATCCAACTAGGATCCATGCAGGTAGCGAAAGTAATGTAAGTCCCCATGGTTTCTAGTATGGTGATCTACCTTCAGTTGTTGGCGATCTATAGCCCATTTTTACATTGTATTGTCTTCTTTAATTGGAATATTTTAGCTTTGTTCGCTAGTTTTATATTGATATCTGTGATATTCTAGTTGTTTTACTGCCCTTCGTCGGCAGGTTTTTTATAATATACAGATATTTCATTCTAATATCGAATGTTCTCGTCACGATATGGCTGAAATATTGCCGATGTGACGTTAAATATTAACTCACTCACTCACTCAACGAGGATTTAAAGTCTCAGGTGTCTGACTTGACTAAGGCAGTGGCAAGTCTCACTCAGATAGTAACTCAGGGTAATTCCTCGGGAATACAAAATAAGAGGAGGTCGTTCAATAAGCACATGGATATAGAATGTTATGTTGTAAGCTGTATTTGTTTAAGAATGGCCAAACTAATGTCTGAGATTCCCTTAACAATGGATATATGTCCATTGGACTCCTCCCATGTGTGTCTCTTGCGATGAAGTGTTTACCATCAAACATATTCTGCTTGACTGTGCAGACTTTTCAATTGCAAGGGATGCACATTATGATGCGAGGAATCTGAAAGGTCTGTTTTTCAGCTTAAGCGGGCATCTCATTGTTAACTACCTGAGGGAAGTTGACCTGTATCTTAAATTGTAACTATGTGTGTGAATAACAAATAGCTTGCTTTTGAATTTTGTTAAATAATTATGTAATAAATGTATATGTGTTTTTAACATAACTCATTTGGATTTTGTACTTAAATTGTTTATTAATTCAGACTTGATTTCGTCACTATATGGCTGGAATAATTCCGATGTGACGTAAAGCCCATCTCAACTCAACTCAACGTGGAATCCAACAGTGCTTTAGATCTTGTGCCATTTTTCTTTCTACGGATCTCACATAAATACTGCAAACGAGAAATGATATTAAAAAGTTGAAACAGCTACGTCATACAAATGTAAGCCAAGAAAATACTATTTGGTATTATAATATATGTTTATATTTTAGGTGGCTTGTCACACAAAGCATTTGTTATAATGTGTGATGACAAGAGTAGTCCCATACGTGTATATGGTTCTGAGATTTGGGGACTAGAAAAAGCAATTAAAAGATTTCTCGTGTGGAAGTTATTACTGCAAACATAATGGTTGATGTGATAGATTTCCATTTTTTGTCGAATTAAAAATGAAAATAGTAAAACATTGGTTCAAAATTTTAAATATGCCATCTTACAGATTGCATAAAAATTGTTATAATATGATGATTTTGTACGATAGAAATGGAAAACGTAATTGGGTCACAGATGTTAAACATTTACTATTTTCTACTGGTTTCGGTAATGTTTGGCTAGAGCAGTGCATAAATAAACTCGCAAAGTTTCTCACGTCCATTAAGCAAAGGTTACAAGATACATACTATTAAAAAATCGCATAATCCAGAATCTGTTGCGAAAATATATTTTCAAACATGTATAACTCGTGCACAAACAGACTTTAATACATGAATTTTACATTGGTTTAGAAGAAGGAAATGTCTATAGAACCAAATGGATAATTTTAGATAACGGACACGCTGAGCGCGATGGTGACAATGTGGCACGGTCCCGACGCCGGGGCTGCTGGCTCTCAGTCCAGTCTTTCTCAACCTGTTCCGTACAGTTTGACCGCATATCATCTGAAGCCCAGGCACCCTGGCTGCTGTGCTCTCACCCGTGGCAGTACGATCACGCAAATGTAGTACCCGGATGTACCGATCTTGGACTGCAGTGGTGACTCGAGGTCTGCCTGTACGGGGACGGTCATTTGTTATATCTGTTTGGTTTTACCGAGCTGCAAGCCGTGATATTGTGCTCAGACTTACATTCAGACGCCTGGCAACAGAAGATTGTTAATCTCCAGCGTGGATTCTTTCAATGGCGATGTTCCGTGTCGCAGCGTCAAGACGTAGCGTAGTCATTTGACCTTAAAAACGACTTCAACATGAATACTTATTTCCGAAAGTTTCAATGTGAAAACAGTTAAGGATCTTTTTAACACTTTTAATTCTCATTTAATTATTGGCTTTTTAAAAGAAATTGACTTAATGAATGAATTTTGAATAATATGTTCTGTACATATCTGTATTTTAATTTTTGGTAGATTTGATTAGTAACTTAGATTGTTAGTGGCTGTACCCTCAAGAGGGGTTGAAGTAGCGTAAAATTATTGTCCTCCTGAGAGGGTACGTAAGTCCCAAAACATTTCAAGTAAATTTAAGTATACCAGGTGTTTTAATCGTAGTATTTTTGTCATTTTAATGTATGGCTAATTCTCGGTATAAACGCCAATGGCTGAAGGGATGGTGTCAATCCAGCTAGGGTCCATGCAGGTAGCAAAGGTACTGTAAGTCCCCATGGTCCCTAGTATGGTGATCTACCTTCAGTTGTTGGCGATCTATAGCCCAATTTTACATTGTATTGTCCAGAAATAATTTTCTACTTTTAAAGATATATGTTAGCTAGTTTTAACTCAATCTGTGATAATCTAGTGGTTTTACTGTCCTTCGTTGACAGGGTTTAATATATTATATGTATGTATTACAAATCTAAAACTAGTTTTAGTCACGATATGGCTGAAATATTGCCGATGTGACTTTAAGTGTGTAAATCATGTTATCAACACTTTTGTTACATATTTTGACGATTGTCTCAAAACAATAGGTAATTGATAGATTTTTATATAGAAAATATAGAATCACGCTTACAAAATTTCGTTGCTCATCCCATGATTTGTTAATAGAAACAGGGAAATATATTGGAATAAAACAAATGAAGATAGAATACGTAAAATGTGTGATTTGAATCCAATTGAAGATTTATAGAAGATACATTTTGTTGTCTGTCCAGCCTACCACACTTTGAGAAGTAAGTATATAAAGAAACATTACTTTGTACATTATAATATTTATAAATTTATATCTCTATTGACCTATTCCAGCAAGCAACATCTAGCAAAATTGTCAATGTTTCTGTATCATGTCTTTCCACGCAGAAAAATGTACTCACTGCTGCCTAATAATATTGTCTGCATACATGTACTATAGACCTGTGGCCTCCTCAGTCAATCTCTCCAATGGATACGCCACGTTGCTTTTAAGGATCCAAGTTATTATTACTGTCTTGAGAGTTTATTGTTCTCGAAATAAGGAGTGAATTCTAATTCTGCTCATTATTTCTTTTAAACTGATTCCACGCTTCTCGATGTATATCAAAATAATTCATCCGGTTTACCAATTAATCAGTCAGGTCCGAATATCACTCAGGTTATGAATCTACCTGATTATTTGGTTGTTTCAGAGGTGAAAGATCAGTATACTGAATCGTCTTCAAAGGATATTTCAGCCATGTTATGGTGAACACTAAAACACTTTCCAATTATTCACAGCCCACAACCTAAACCATCTCTCACATGCACACTTGCATTGTGAACTCACGTACCACAAACAATTGGATCCATGTGTGATATTAAAGTAAGATTAAATAAGAATCATATTTGTCAGAAAGAGACAACGACTTCTAAATTATACCCTCCTAATCTTTTCCTCCTATCGGATTGTTTCAATTTGTTCGCATTAAAACCTTATGGACTTTTACAACCACTCCCAAAAAATCTGCGTTTAAATTTCCACATTGATTCTGTTAAAGGGACCAATACTTTTAAGTTGATTTACACCTCATTTCCCAGTGTGAAAAATAGGCACACATTATTTCGCATTAATTGATGTCAGATCAATATGTTCCATCAACCCTGATTGTCGTGAGATTATGGTCTCTCAATTTTATCTTTACCCCCGAGCCCTCCAATGACAGACTGAAATCGTCTTTAAAGATTTATCTTATTCGACGTGTGTTCTTCAGTTATGATTTATTGCTTGGTTGTCCCAGTTTACAAATTCAAAAACAGGCACTCGTAAGATGTTTGTCACTTGCTTTAAAACGTGTCAGTTGAAAAGATTTCTTTTTACTACTTTGACAGGTGATTTATGGTAATCCATCATTGTGGATGCACTGAGTGACATAATCCATATCGCACCTTGCCCATCCTATTAAAGCTACCTTAACTTGACAGCCTTTGCCATCTGTCACGTATAGACAGATGCCACATTTCCGTTGCCCCTGTTGTGTATTTATACACGTCATATCTAACTCATACTGTGATGGAGATCAACAACCTATTAACGACCAGTCATTTGTCAGCGTTATTAACACTTGTCAGTTGGACACATTGAACATTTGAGACTCAAATTTGTGAATTTGGTAGGTGATAGTATCGTTAAATACTCCATTTTCTAAATTTATATTAATATTTTGTTCTCTGTATTAGCATTAAATACCATCAGGTGTTTTACCTATATTATAACTACCGAGTTACAAGAGGAATGTTCAGGCATATATTACTAATCGTTCTTACGACAATATTGTATTACTTTACCGGTGGTCGGACGTACATGTGTATTATGAGTGAGTGAGTGAGTTCATATTAGAAAGAGTAAAATCTGTCAAGAAGGACAGTAAAAATCCTAGAGTATCACAGAAATGAATATAAAACTAGAACATGTGTATAATGGATAGCTGGTAATTACTCATATTAAATTTTTATCCTGTTCCTTTAATATTACTTGCTGGGATTGATTTTCATCCGTGTTTCAATGTACACCCTCAATCCCTCACATATTTATATATGTCGTACTCTAATTCAATATTGTCCGTCAAATATGTCTTAATACGCGTAGTATTCGTCTTATGCTTATCTCCATATTACTGTGTCCATACGAGATCGTTGTACTTCATCGTGCCATATTTACCCGGGCCTTAATATATTGCTACATATCACGAATATGTTTGTTGTGGCTTGTCACTTTTCTCAAGTGTTGCAGCTCCATAGCCGGCCACACATCGGCTGATGACGACCAAACAGAGCCAGTGACACGCCATACTCTACAAGAGATTATGGTTGTTATCAGTGCCTATTGGTCATCAGACAGAAGACATATTTGCCACGACAGTCTACCCGTGTGTGGAGTTTTACGTTACCACGAAACTCTATACCAAAATCATACTGTAGAACGATGTTCAAGGTGTACACTACTGGATTCTCTGGTCCAGACCGCTGCCTTCTAGCTGGAATATTGCTGAGGGTGGCGTTACACAACACACCAATCAACCCACTTTACAGACAGACAGGCAGATATTCTATTTCAGTCTCACCTCACATAAAATACATATATAAATATACTTATAAACTATAACATATAAGCAAGCCACCCTTTATGGGTTATGAGAGACCAATGTGTTAATGCATTATCAACACTAAAAATAAATAATGATATAGCTGTATACAGTATAAAATCTATCCGTATAAAATATGTTTTCTTCTTTGCAAGATATGAAAGCAGTTTTGGCACTGAAATATACATGGTGTTTAAAAAGTAAACTAATCCATCATCATCACAAAGATCTAAGAAGTTTGGATAGCTGAAACAGGCATTTTCATATAAACTTTCACGTTAATCATTATACATAGGGCAATACAACAGAACGTGTCTTTCATACTCAACACTCTCACTGCACTGAAAACATACCCTCTCTTTCACATTCACATTTGTATATCTGCCGGTTTCCAAATGCAGAGGAGCAGTACCTGATCTGAATTTGGAGAAGGCAGAGCGGTACGAACGGGGCATACTCACATAACTGTCACAGCCATACACATCCTTAAACATTCGATACGTTCGTAATTTGTTACCTCCCGTTCTACCACTTGGCTTGTGTAACAACCCATACCAATCATTCACATACTTCTGCATGCAGATATCTCACACCTTCTCACATGCAGTGTACTCTGAGTGAAATACGTGTCCACTCCAGAATACAGATGCTGAACATTGCGTTAAAGTACAATACGTGTACTGGACTGAAAAACAGTTCACGGAATGTTCGAATCACTTCAAAACGTTCTCTGCTTCGCGGATAAATACCAACTGCATGTGGTATCGGTGGACGTTACATAACAGATGCGTTTTGGAGACATGTTCAGTTATGTTATGGTCTTTGGTTCTCGGACAATGTGCTGTGCACGCGAACACACTATGCTTCGCGGATAGGACATCTGCACGTGACTTTCATACATGTTTAGTGTTATATAAACATATCTCGTGATCCTACACGTGGGTGTTAGAGTATTAGTGTTGAGTGCTTAGTTAGTTAGCTGGTTAGAGTCGAATGAACATCTGTGTGCTGGATGTTATATATTTAGATGTTTGTTAGATGATTCGGTCATAATCGGACCTTAGTAAACACTTCAGCTTTCGTGCAGCGTATTGCATTCATTAGTTTGTTGTTGTTGAGTTGGGTTTTGCTTCACATCGGCATTATTCCAGCCATATAGTGACAAGTTTGCATTAATAAACATTGTAAGTACATACTCGGAATGAGTTTTATTTAAAAAACATGTATTCATTACATTGTCATTTAAAAGCAGAAAAAGTCATAGCATCAAATTTAAAGGCAGGCAATTTGTTAGTGACATTTCACAGTTACAATTTATGATACAGATCAACTTCCCTCAGGTAGTTCACTATCAGATGAGCGCTCACGCGGGAGAACAGATCTTTTAGGTTTGTTGCATCATAATGTGAGTCCCTTGCAGACGATAAGTCCACGCATTCAGGCAGAATATGCTTGATGGTGAAAACCTCATCGCAAGAGACACACATGGGGGGGTCCGTCCCCATCCGTTTTCAGCAGATAAGTCATGAGTAAATCGGCTATGGCCAATACGACATCATCGTAAAATTACCTCATCACGTCTTGACTGACAACCCAAGTAGGTATAACCAATTGTTGGTTTCAGTTCATACAATTCATTTCTTCCTACTTGAGTGTCCCATCGTTTTTGCATGAAGTCCCGAGTATAGTTTTTGATTGTGGGTTTGAAATCACTGTACGGGATCAGCAGTGGAGATAAGGGCTTGTCAAGAGCTGCTTTTGCTGCAGCATCGGCTTTTGTGTTACCTGCTATGCCTACGTGACCCGGCAACCAGCAGAGGACGATGTCGCATTGGGCAGTAGAGAGGTCGTTGTAAAGTTCCAAAATGTCCAGAATGACGGGGTGACTTGAAGTGACATTTTGAAGTGCTTGATGGCAAGATAATGAATCTGTGAAAACGATGAAGTTTTGGGAATGATTCTGCTGTTTAATATAGGTCAGAGCTGAAAAGATAGCTTTGGCCTCGGCAGTGAAAATGGATCTATGGGTGTCATACTTGGAACGTAACTGGATGTATTCCTGCTGGAACACCAAGGGATTTGTTTCAGACTTTTTGAATTTAGTGAGGGTAAGATCGATCTGTGGTTTCATCATGTGCCAGAGTCGGCAAGGTGCTATGCTATTGAGATCAATTTTAGCTGCAGATATGTGTGGTTGAATTCTGATTCCAAGTGGTTGAACCAGGCTTGGCAGTTTAGGAAACAGGTTTTCATAGAGAGGGTTGAAAACACAATTGTATGCTGGATTGGACTGATTTGAAGGTAACTATATAGAATTAATTTTTTTTATTCCACTGCAAAACATGTACAATGGGCGTACGCTGCGTAGAGCAGAGTCTCAACATCCCGTCAGGAGTGCACTAAGTGCGTGTCACAGTTCACTTCGGTGCAAACTTCGTCTAAGCAAACCCTGCATTACAAAGAATATCTCATAAATATTCATATATGCATATTGTGAAATTGAGCACGTGTTCACATTAACCCTCCTTGTGTTATTCTGGCATGCGCAGTGGGAGTTTCGATTAGAAAGACGTGTATATATTTCGCGCCCGTCAACCCACAAACACCAGTCAGCAGCCAGCGTTCAGCATTACCACTGTTGAAAAGGTAAAATATTAAATATGCTCATTATTGGAACTAATGGGATATAATTTTCCTTAACATATGGGGGCATTGTCGTTACAAATTAGATAAAGAACAGTTACTTTGGTCCTGGGAACTCTGTCACCGTCCGTTTCCAGAGAAGGTAATATTGTTTTATTATACCTGTAAATCGTTCTTTGACGACTATGTTCGACCAAAGATCAACGTTCAGTTTTTATATCCCTGGCCATTCACTGGAATCTAAACCTCGCAATATTTAAAAGCAAATGCCCAGCAGTCATCAATGTGCGCTACTTTTCTTAGAATTTTGGAAGTTTGAAAACCTGCTATATTCTGCTTCAGATATTTTTTAACGGCGAAAGCACAACCTGAGTGCGAAACCTTGTCTTCTTGTCTGTGTGGAGAAACTAAGATTTCACAACAATGTTCACGGTCCTCTTCGGTCTCCTCGCCTTGTCGTGTCTCCCCCTGTCGGTGCTCGGCGACCCTGAAGATAGCAACGCACGTCTGTACAGAGTGGACATCACCCTTCCACCGAAGGAAGGGAGGGACGAGAATGCCGACATACTTGACATTAAAACAACAGTGGCGGGGCTTACTGACATCAAGGTTCTGTTTTCATTTAAGGTAAGTAAAGTCATTGTGTCATTGAACAGATACTGCCTAGCCTTAATGTGGATCGGGAGCCTAGACTAAACGTTATTTTGTCTTGTTTGTTTGTTCAAAACCGCAATCAGCAATATACAGCTATATGGCGGCGGCCGGTAGCTAATAGAGTCTGGACCAGACAATCCAGTGATCAACAACGCGTGCGTCGATCAATGCAACTGGGATACAACCAAGTGTCAGCGAGCCTGTCAACCCGATCCTGCTAGTCGCCTCTTATGACGAGCATGTGTTCCCAATGACCAATTCTAACCCGGATCTTCACGGGTGGCTGGAAGTGATGCAGATGGTTTTATTCCCTGCTCCTAACTTGATTGTATACTCAACACATGTAAACACTTGACACCCACATTATTAGTAACAATAGTAATTATTTGATTTGATCCTGATCTGATGTGTTATAATCCTTGGTCCTCACTTGTATGCGTACTGTGCAAAATTAAAAACTAGACATGCACAGTAATCGTGATGGATAATTGTGAAGAGGGTGATTCATTTTAGTAGCTTGTGCCATACACATTCTAATGGCAAGAAGGCTGACACAGTTGGTAATGAACGGAATGAATGAATGAATGTTTATTCCGTAAATAGGCAACAGGCCCAGTATACAATTACATCATCAATTCACATCGCAAAAAAAAACATGTTGCGACATAGTGGGTACACATTTATACATCTATACACTGTCACGACGCTTACTGGGGGAACTTACTGCGCTTCTTAAAAGGGAGGGAAATATACTTGGCTAAACAGGTTACAATACTTGCTTTTGTAGATGTCATAAGTTGAATAAATTATGGGTGATTATTGTAGTGTTATAGAGAAGTATTTTCTCTACGACCTTGGTTGAAAGGACAAATAAGGCAAAAGTGATACTCGTTCTCTAAACAAGGTATTATATACACAGAGGACATAACCTTTCACATCTTGGAATGTGACGTTTTCTACCTTCAGAATTCATAAGATCATGTGCTGAGGATCTAAGCTGTGAAAGGGCAATTCTATATGGCTTAATAGTACCTAATGGTAAATAGTCTTCGAACATATTAAAAAAAATTATAAGTCTGTATATTGTCAAACATGGAATACTTCTTAAAAATTTCAAAATACAATTGTTATCAATATTGATACATCTAAACTTTAATTTCAACAAGAAGTCTTCCCCACAATCAACATCTTGATTTGAGCAAGAATAGCCAAAACCGTAGCTAGACAATAAATTCTAAACTTTAAGTGGCCAGCAGTCAATACCCATTTTTAGCACGATCATACTGATAAGAATACACATGTTTGAGAAAACATTATCACTTTGAGAGTACACAGTCTTATCCGATATTTTACTATTTTCACGAATTGATTAAAGAGAAGCGTCCCAATTCATTCCTCGCAAAAACTTTTGAGTAGGATTGTCTGAGATGGAAAAAAGTTTATGAGCGTAAATACGCATGAAACGTGCACTGGAATGCATGCACACAAAAACACACACGCCGACAGTGTACACTGATATTGACTGCCGCTCTTTCTCGTCCCGTCTCACACACTAACAAATTGACGTTTCTTTAACAGGAACTCGGGAATGCAGTGGTAATTCTGGGTAAGTTCAATTATGCAACTATTTTTGTGTGATTGTTTCAGACAAATTGGCTTTAAAGGAGAAGTGTACACGAAAAAATCGTCTTTTTTCCCGTATGTGAAACAAAAAGGTAGTTTTGAATTAGTTATCTGGTAGATTTAGCTATCCATACTTAAATAATTCGCATTATGTTTTCTTACAATGAACGCTTTACCCTCAATATAACTGCTGAAATGTTATTCCATTGTGAGGCCCTTGTTTATGGAGCTAAACCTTTGATTATGACATAATTGGTGCCAAAGGATTCAGAGTGGTCTCCTTTCTAGTCACAAAGCAAACGATATTCATACTGAAAATCACTTATAAAAAACGAATGCAAAAATACGACAGAAACATTATATGTAAAAATGAAAGCAGCAGGATCATTTTATCATTTTATTTTGAACTGTATCAGGAATTGACAACAGCAGCAACAACAACAAACATACCGGTGATCGCAATGATATTTCTAAATTTGGATATGGTAAGGTAGCTGACTTTAAATTACAGTTGTGATGGAATAGGCGAAACATAACCGACTTACATGTGACGTGATTTTACAAAGACACTGCAGTATGGCCTGAAGGTTAACTTCGGCGGTCGTGTCTGTGTACATTCTAAAACGTTCTCCACGATTCTCAACAATAAAAATAACGGGGATCGCAATGATACTTTGTTGTTGTTGTTTTTCTAAATTGGATATTAAAATTAATTACTTACACTAAATTACACCAATTACCGTGAATGGTGATTTAGTAATGCGTCAAAACTGACGAGATGAACGATTATGTAAGTTTCAATAAATTTGTCCTCCCTGCAGTGAGGATATTGTAGAAGAGCGAATTTCAAACAGAATTCAAAACTCTGCATTTATAGTCGTGATGTATTTGATGTGGTTTTGACATCAAAGTGATGACTGATCCAAGAGGAGGGACACATATATTGTACGTATTATTTAGCAACTACCGAACCCAGAATCCCTGCACACTCACCGATGGCTAGCTAGATGAAGTGCACATACGTTTTAATTTCGTTGTACGAGGATACTGTAGAAAAGACAACCGACAAAGTGGAAAGTTATAGAATCAAATTCTTCTCAAAGCATTCGTTTGAGTGAGTGAGTGAGTTAAGATTTAAAGTCACATCGGCAATATTTCAGCCATATCGTGACTAAAGCAAGTTATAAATATATCAACAATTTAAGTGAAATTATAAAATTCTGCCGACGAAGGACAGTAAAATAACTAGATAATCACAGATATATATGTAAAACTAGTAATTGAATCTAAAACATTTTAACTATAGGGGACAACACAATATAAAAATGGGCTATAGATCGCCACCAACTGAAGGTAGATCACCATGCTAGGAGCCATGGGGACTTACATTACTTTTGCTACCTGCATGGATCCTAGCTGGATTTACACCATCCCTTCAGCCGCTGGCGATTGTAGGAAAATTTAGCCAACAGTTAAAATAACAAAAATACTACGTTTAAAATGTGATAATTTATATTTTACTTTGAAAGTTTTGGGACTTACGTACCCTCTCAGGAGGACAATAATTTTACGCTACGTCAACCCCCTTTGAGGGTACAGCCACTAACAATCTCAGTGACTAATTTAAATTACCAATAATAAAATATTTATCTATTTACAAATCAGTTAATAAATCTAATTCTTTTAAAAAGGCAATAACTAAATGAGAACTAACATTATTAAAAAGATCCTTCAATGTTTTGACATTAAAATACTTATCCCTTGTGATGGAATATTCAATGCAGTCAAGCAAGACATGCTTGACTGTGATCCTTTCATCACAAGGGATACAAAACGGAGGATCTTCGCCTTTCAATAAATATTCATGAGTATATCTGGTATGGCCAATGCGACATCTTCTCATAATGACCTCTTCAAATCTGGACTGACAACCCAAGTAGGTGTAACCAATATAGGGTTTTATTGCATGTAACTTATTAATACCTACTTGGGCGTCCCACTTCTTCTGCATTAGATCACGGATGTAAGTTCTAATGCCAGCTTTATAATCAGAGTATGGAATAAGAAGTGGTGTCACAGATTTGTTGAGTGCTGCCTTGGCAGCAAGATCAGCCATGGTATTCCCAGAAATGCCAACGTGGCTGGGTAACCAACAAAAGACGATGTCGCACTGGCCAGTAGCAAGCTCATTATACAATTCAATAATGTCTAATAAAAGTGGATGTTTACAAGAAATATTTTTAATAGCCTGAAGACATGAAAGGGAATCGGAAAAGATTATGTACTGTTTATGTTTAGGATGTCTTTGAATATATTTAAGAGCCGTTAATATGGCGTTTGCTTCTGCTGTAAATATACAGCTGTTATCGGGTATTCTAGAAGATATTGTTCTGGATCAATGACAGTGGCACATGCCACTGCGCCACCATCCTTGGACCCATCTGTAAATAAGGATTTGTATGTATTATATTTATTTCTTAATTGACTAAATTCTTGTTTATACTGTAATTCATTTGTTTCTGATTTTTTAAATGTAGTTAATGTTAGGTCAACTTGTGGCCTAACCAATTGCCAAGGCGGAGAAGAAAGAAGACGGGAAGGAGCTATATTTTCCAGCTCAATGCCGGCAGCAGAAAGAAATGGTTTAATTCTTAAACCAAGAGGCGGAACAAGAGAAGGCTTTTTGTTGTACAACTCCTCATAAGAAGGATTGAAAACACAGTTAAATGCGGGATTAGACTTGTTAGAATAGAGTTTTGTTATATACTGCAAAGAGAGTTTGATACGACGTTGGGTAAGGGATGGCTCATCAGCCTCAACATAGAGACTATCAATAGGAGAAGTTCTAAAAGACCCAAGACAAAGTCTCAGACCTTGATGGTGGACTGAATCTAAGAGTTTTAAGTTGCTTGTGCAGGCTCCACCATATACGATGGAGCCATAATCAAGCTTCGAGCGGACAAGTGATCTGTAAAGGTGTAGGAGCGTAGCTTGATCCCCTCCCCCACCTTGAATTAGACACGACTTTCAATAAATCGAGTGCCTTCAGGCATTTAGTTTTTAGGGATTTGATATGCGGAAGAAAAGTTAAATGGGAGTCGAAAATGAGACCTAAGAACTTGGCCTCTTTTACAACCTTGATGGGAGTGTCATTTAAAAAACAGTTCTGGGTCTTTATGTGGTTTATATTTACGGCAGAAATGTATGCAATTAGTTTTTGATTTAGAAAATTTAAAGCCGTTTTCAAGACACCATTTATTTATTTTGTTTAAACATAACTGTAGTTGCCGTTCAATGGTATGCATATTCTTACCGCGACAAGAAATATTAAAATCATCCACAAAAAGTGATCCATCAATGGAATCATTTAAAACCTTTGACAAACTGTTA